AAAATTCTATCTCTCCTTTGCAGGTAAGCCTTTGAGAGATTGAAAAAACATTAATGAACCTCAAAGGGAAAAAAAGACCCTCAAAGCCTTTTCAGTCAGTGGGTTTTATAGCCCACTAGAAAGAAAGAGAGGGAGGGAGAGGGAGGTGGGAGAGCAAAAGGGAGGGAGGGGAGAACAGAAGAAAGAGAGAGACAGAGAAAGAAGAAAAACATTTGGTTTTGTTTTCACAATTGAAAACCAACCTGGTCCCAGAGTTTTGTATACCTCCAATTTTTTTTAATGGAGATTCTATAAAGTCTATTAAATTGCCTCAATATAAGAGTGAGCCCTGAAAGCATTCTTTTTAAAATTTCTTAGTGTATAAAAGAACACACCCTAGAAATAATAATAAATACAAGCTATTCTACTTGGGTCAAATATACCAATGACATTTCACCAAATGAACTCTATAGAAATTAACCCAGGCATTGTCTTGTACACTGGTAATCCCAGCTACGTAGGAGGCGGAGGCAGAAGGATTGCAAGTTCAAGGCCAGACCCAGGTGACTTAGTGAGACCCTGTCTCAAAATTAAAAGGGCTGAGGATGTAGCTCAGTGGTAGAGCATTTGTCTAGCTGTTCTAGGCTCTGGATTCAATCCCTGGCATCGCAAAAAAAAAAAAAAAAAAAAAAAAAAAGCCTCTTCTGCTGACCAAAACATAAAATAGAACAGTAGAGAATTCTCCCCTCAGATTATCTTTAGGATTAGAAATGGTAAGGAAATAAGAGGAATTTATTTTATTTTGACTGATTATTTATTATCTCTAACAAGCTCTAACATTAAATACTTGCAACATTAAGAAATTCTGTGTTAACATGTCAGGTAATCTTTATTCTATAGATAAAATTTGGTTTTGTTTTCACAATAAATCCCTTTATCTATCTTTATTTATACATCTTTATTTATTTAAAGGGATTTATTCCTTTATCTATACAATAAAGCATCATCCCCAAATAAAAGCATTAAGTATGCATTCTAATTTCTTAATTAAAATGATGTTTGGAAAGGGACCAGTCCTAGTAAACAATTGCTAAGAAAAAGAACCCCAAATTTGAAAATAAGTTAAAAATATAAATAAAAGATAGTTAGGTGTCTTTTTAATAGAATGCTGGACAAATTCTAGCGATCTTCCTAGGATTATATTATTCCACTAGGGCTGCACACCTTTGAGCAATTTGACACTCACTAGGCTATTTTGAAAGTTTCTATAGGTAGATTACAAGTTAAAAAACTGATGTCTTAAAAAAAATCTGAAGAGACGTGCAAACTGTCCCCATACTTAACGCTGCACAGGGACACGGTGGAATCAATGCAGTTGAATCCCCTCGTTTTCCATCTGGCAGGACAGTATCTTTGCATGTCCTTGTCCTTTGGGATGTTAAACAGGTTTACATCGATTTGCAAATTGGTCCCAGAATCCTTTTGATCATTTATATCATCACTTCTCCTCTGAAAACCAGTCAGAATATCTTACTGGCTTCTTCATCATTCATGAGTTTAATGCAATTATTGCCCTTTGTTTATTTAATATTTGCATGTGTCACTTTTTTACGTTAGCATCTTCATATTATGATTTATACTTTATACTTCATCACAGTAAAGACACGTAACAATAAAAGCATAAAATGTGCAGAATTTATATTTTCGATCTGGTGACTTTTTTTGCGAGAAAAGCGGAAAAATGGCAAATATCTTAGTTTGAAATAAGATTATATAAACTGTTTTTAGATGACTAGTGCTTGGGCCTGTAAGATCATAATTTGGGCCTGAAACAAGCAAGTCCACAGATCAAGAACCCCTGAAGTATTGGAACCTAAGGTCAGGGTCCCCTCATAGGATGGATCATTTTGCTATTAATACAGTCAGATTGATCCGTCTTTTATTCAAGGGTAATTTTGAAAAAGAAATCTTTTCCTACAATAAGGACAGAAAAATGTTAGCCTGTATCTTCTGAATATTTTAGGATGTCTTGTTCATCCTAACACCTGCTCTGTTCCCAGAGGCCTAGAAGACAGTTGGCCCTCAATATGTTTTTGTGGGTAAAAGAAAGAAATGAACATTTTCTCACTTTGTTTTGTTTTCATAAGTTTAAGTTTTTATACTAGGTTATTTATGTGGAGCATATTCATCTTACTTTTGTGAAAAGCAGGACTATGATTGCATTTCCCAATAGGTTGGACTAAATTGTCCAGCTGTCCCTCTTTTCCTGCTGATTCTCTATCTGCATTCATCATGTATCAAAATTCCCTGTATAAGCGAGCAGGGGCAGTGGCTCACACTTGTAATCCCACGGGCTCAGGAGGCTGAGGCAGGAGGATCCTGAGGGTGAGGTGCTAAGCAACACAGTGAGACCCTATCTCTAAATAAAATACACAATAGGGCTGGGAATGTGGCTCAGTGGTTGAGTGCCCCTGAGGTCATCCCAGGTAGTCCCCTCTCCACAAAAAAAAAAAAAAAAAAAAAAAAAAAAATTCCTATATAAGCAAGCAGTTTCTGGGCTTCCTACTTTGTGGCACTGGCATTTCCCCCGGCATCAAGATTTCTGTCTTAGCAATTATAATCGTGTAAGTAGTTCACATATTTAGTAGGCTCACTCACCTTCCTCATTATTTGTGGTCAGAATTTTCTTGTCAATTTTTGGCCTTCTATACTTGATATAATTTTTATTCATTCCTTAAACATTTTATAAAAGTATGTTGGAATTTTGACTGGCACTACATCAAATCCGTAGACCAACTTGGGAAGAAGTAATATCTTTTCAAAATTATATCTTAAGATCCATGATCGCGGACCATATCTCCACTTATTTAGGATTTCTTTATAACTTCTAGAAGAATTTCTTTATAACTTCTAGAACCCCGTCTCAAGGGTTGCTTCTGGGTTTCCAAGGCTATGAAAGAGAAGAGAATGTAGGCCATTAGCTAAGCTCAAAAGTGTCATTTGCCGTTTCTCTCCTTTTATCATTGATTGGAATTGTATGGCCAAGAAACAACAAGCCTCTGCTGAAATTTTTCGACATTCTGATCATTAGTACCACTCCTGGGCTGGGGATATAGCTCATTTGGTAGAGTGCTTGCCTCACATGCACAAGGTCCTGGGTTCAATCCCCAGCACCACACACACAAAAATATCAACCTCAATGGGGCTGGGGTTGTGGCTCAGAGCACTTGCCTGGTACATGTGAGGCCTTGGGTTCCATTCTCAGCACCACATACAAATAAGTAAATAAAGGTTCATCAATGACTAAAAAAAATTAAAAAAAAAAAAACTCCTGTCCCCTCTTGTTTGAGCAGAGGAAGGCCTTCACTGCACCCCCTCGGTGGGAGGTCAGCTCCCTTACCTCCGACTCAGCTAAGAACACAAGACAAGGTGGAAGTGCCTAGAAGGTGGGCCCAGAGACCACAGAGAACAAGAACATTCCCCCCACCCCAGAACCTGCATTTCCTAAGTAGAATCTGCCCCCTTCACCATCTGCCTATTTGGATTGTAGAATTTGTGTTAATGACCATCACGTGTCTGTTTTTCCCCTTTTCTGAACTGGTGTCCTTGCTGTGGTTGTCGCTATTGTTTTAAATCAGGAGTGGGGCAGTTGGGGGTGGGCGGGGAGCTTGCCATTGGTTTGGAGGCCACTGGGCTAAGAGGAGAGGCTGTGAGGAAGTGCACTCAGGAACAATTGGGAAGACTCGAATTACCTGAGACCCTGCCCTTGTTCATTATAGAAACAGATTATAGATAGACTTAATATTGTTGGTTTTGTTTTGTTTTTGTTTTTTGGTACTGGGGCTTGAACCCACAGATACTTAACCACTGAGTCACATCCCCAGCCCTTTTTATATTTTATTTAGAGACAGAGTCTCTGAGTGGCTTAGGGTCTCACTAAGTTGCTGAGGCTGGCTTTGAACTCACGACCCTCCTGCTTCAACCTTGAAAGCTGCTGGGATTGCAGGCATGTGACACCGCTCTGGGTTTGGGGTCACATAATTATACAATCATGAAAGATAATTTGCTCCAATTCAGTCCCCAGTGCTGTCCCTTTCCCTTCTCTTCTCTCTCCCCTGTGCCCTTTCCTCTACTCCTACTGAGGTTCTCTCTCTCTCTG